CCATGAAAACAAATAGAAACCAGAAAATGAGTAACTACAGAATCCTCTTCTGGTCTCTCTGCAATGTCTTTTGTGTTAAACAATTACATAACTGCATAGAAATGCCCTAAAATGTCTTGTGGAGGTGAGGCAGCTATGCAGGAGGCGGTTTCTGTAACTTACTCCTTAAATAATAGAACAGATGTTCAGAGACTAATATTCAGGATCAACAGATCAAGATCTGATAAACAAGCAGAACACCACATTTTAAAAACACAACCTTGTGTATGTATAAAACAACCAAGAACTGCTTCATGAGCTTCGCGGTATACAGTAGTGCCTCGCTACTTGGAGGTTTGCTTTTCTCAGACTCACTCGATTGCGATTTTTCAAAATAAGATTGGACATGACACACAATTGGCTGATTGATGGATGAGCCACACGATCAGCATGGACTTTTTATTTAAAATAAATTATTTTAAATTATTTAGCCCCTTCTGCACTTCTGTGCAGCCCACAGCTGCAGAGGAAGCACCCTCTCTCAGAGTGTCATATCTCAGCTCTGCAGCGGAGAAGTGGGCGTGGCCGAGAGCGCTAGCAGAGAGCAGCCGATGCTGAGAGCTGAAATCATGACATTATGTGCCCCGTCCCCACCACCTGTCGGCACTGACGTAACGCTAAACTAGCGGTTCGCAATACAAGTGCACTAGCTAATAAGCTAAAGGCAGCCTCTTCCCTCACGCTTCCCTCGGTGTTTCAGGGTACGGATCGCCCGCGATAAACGAGAGACTACTGTAAATCAAAATCCTTTTTGCAGAGAAGATATTAGATGTAAACTGAGTGTTTCTGATTCAGCAATGGAAAAATGAAGTGACTGTTACAATGAACATAGGTTTTGTGTTACTTCGAGAGATGGAAGTTAAAAAATGAAATTTATAAATAAATAAAATGCCATAAAAATACACACAAAAAAGAAAAAGTCATGAGGTCATGCTGGAATGAGTATGTGTAGTAAAACCAGTCTCCCAGTTTGAATCGGAGCTGATGTGTTGTGCTGGACACCATGGCTTCAACAGAGCACAGAACAGATGCTGTGCACAAGAAATGAGCATCCATTTCCATACACAGCAGGTGCTGGCTGTCATCATACGTAACTGGATTCGGACTGGCTTACAGCACAGGGTTGCATTAGTGACTCTGGCACTGACAAGTCAATACATGATTCTCGAACATGAAAGTTAGCGCATTCTTTTCTACTTGTCTCACCCCCAAGCAGCTTTGACTGACAGTTGAAAAACTCAGGTTTACGGGACGAGCAGTAGCGCTGGCAGGTGTGGTGAAGAATTTGGATAAAGGTGCACTTCTCTCCAGCTGAACTTGCAACCCACTGATCCAAATCATTGTCAAACATGAGATCAAACTCTGGACAATCCTTAGAGACAAAAAAGAAGAAAAAGTTTGAGAAGTTTGTAGTAAGAGAAATTAAAAGACAATTACAAATATTAGTAAAAACAATACTAATAAGAAGACAAAAACATGATAGAATAGTACAAAATAGCTAGAACTAAAATAAAGCTGCATTTAAACAGCAAATATTTAGTGGTTAATGAAAAAAGAAATCTCATTCCTTGTTGCGGGTCACAAAAAACTAGTAATAATTTAGAAACTTTATGAAAATATTTAATGACTTACTTTGTTGGCATCGATGCCATTGACCTGTCGCAGCTGGTCGATTGTCCACTGTGACCTTTTGACAAAGGAAGATGATCCCTGGAACTGCTTCACTTTTGTGATGGATACATGAGACGGTTTCTTATTTGTCACTGAGGAAACATAAACAAGAAAACAACTAGATGAGGCAAATACACCAATAATAATACATTAAATTGTACATTAAAAAAATCCACTCTATGAATAGCAATGTTTGATTTTGTACAAAAATCAAACAAAGCTATTACAGTTGACATTTAGTCGTTAAAAAAATGTGTTTAGTTTATCAACAGAACGTACAATTTTAAAGGTTTGAAGTTTGGTGTTACTTGTAAATGTTGGTAATAAAAAGTAATGAAATTTAAATTTGGATAGCAGATCTGTTCTTTTTATAAAAAAAAACAAACAAACACATTTTCAAATTCGTTTGTTTTGTTAGTAAATAAAAGAAAAATCCGAATACGTGGCAAAAAAAAACAGATAAAACAAATCCTAATAATAAATCAAATGAAAACAAAAAATCCATCTTATACAGATCCACAGCTCCGTTGTGGAGAAACTTCTGGTTAACAGGACTGACTATTATCCATCCATCATCTTTTACCCACTTCTTCCATTTTGGGTCACGGGGGTCGCCGGTGCCCAAGTCCAGCAATCACTGTGTGAGGGGCGGGGTACACCCTGGACAGGTCTCCAGTCCATCACGTGCTGCTGTCTTGCTATTTTAACACCGGAACAAAGCTTTTGCAGAAAAGGGGAAGTGATTATCTTATGTTCCCTACTCTTCATCACTCCTCCCAACACAAACTACCAGCTGCCCACTATTTGTATTTTTCCAGTTGTAAGGTTTCACTGTTCTGAAGATGCACCACGCCCATCTCTGGGAATGAGCTGTATAGGTAGGGCTGAATGTCACGCAATACATTTGATTTGCAAACTCCCACAAGAAAATGAATGGTTACTTTTGTTCTGTGTCCATTTTGACAGCTGCAGTCAGGTTCTGGTATTTCTGGGTGGGATGAACAAATGGACATTCAAACAGACCAAAGACAGGCAAGCTGACCTGTCTCACGATATCTTCAAGAATGTAGTTTTTCAACAGTTTCAGCTGTTACACAAAGTCATTGATCAAAATCTTGTAGGTAACAGAGGCAGGTAATCTGAGCTTTAGATATTAAATAAAAAGTATGACATTGATAACTGTATGATGCATAAACGAACAAAATGCTAATGAACAGCTTTGTTTGACTTTGCTACATACAGTATTTGTTCTGAGAGCATTTTATGCTGACATAATGGTTACAAGAAAACAGACAGTACTGTTTGTATACAAACTACTGTAGTAGCTTTGGTACTTTCAGACCCACTGTTACAGCATGGCTTTCTGATTTATGTGTATCTCACTATAAAATGACAGTATATTGTCAGAATACATTAGATGAACTTGCAGAAATGTAAAAGACTAATATGACATGAGATTAGTAATTTAAAAACACTAATAACATTTTCTGCACAAATGCACAAACACATCCCTTCTGCTGAGATTGCACACAGCATGGCTCCATCATAAAGGTACAGGGGTCGAAACCTTTAAATTAAACGTTTTACCTCCTGGGGAAATCACTGATTTTGTGGCTCAGCAGTTGAGAAGTTCTTAACTATTGTGCATAGCATGATAAACTATAAAAATAATACTATAATTATGAAAGTGTATTTACGCATGAGCAGCTTTGACTGACATGTTCTTACATTGTGGATGGTCAGCACACAGATTTTCTGAGGCTACTTTCAAAACAATCACACACCATCTCAGAAATTAGAAGGAAAAGTGGCATGCACCTCTTGTGCTGTCATAACATTTTATCCATTGTTGTATAACAAATTCATTCTACATGATCAGTTCCTCACCTCAAAATCCGACAGCACAGAGTGATTTTTCATGTTATTTTTTCTTCTACAACACCATGACATTGCGGTAAAACCCAATCACTGAACCGCATCAGTGAATATGCAAAACAGAAAAGAAAAAAAAACATCTCTGGGAAATAAGAGTTTCTTGCCATACAACTAGACACAAGTCTTAATAAAACTGCCAGACACCTTTGAGGCTCTCAAATCAATTTTGTTTTCAGGTGTTGACTCCCACCTTGTCTGAACAGCTCTCTTGTATATTAACATAATTACTGAAAGAGATGATTTTATTGAAATAGCAATTAAGAAGAAAGTGTTCAGTCGATCTCCTCAAACAACATCAAACTTCAAGTTCCCTTCATGACAAGTATAATTAAAGCAATGCATTATTCTTTTTCTTTCAGCTGTTCCAGCTCTTCAGGAGTTTCCACAGCGAGTCATCCTCCTCCATCTCACTCTGTCCTCTGCATCCTCTGTCCTCACTCCAATTACCTCCATGTCCTCTCTAACTGCATCCATATATCTTTGTCTCTTTCCTGGCAGCTGCATTTCTAACATCCTTCTACCAATATACCCACTGTCCTTCTTCTGGACATGTCCAAACCATCTCAGTGTGTCCTCTCTAACTTTATCTCCCAGTTGTTCAACCTGTGCTGTACCTCTGATGATCTCTTTCCTAATCTTATCCATCCTTGTCATTCCTAAGGAGAACCTCAACATCTTCATTTCTGCTACTTCCAGTTGTGTCTCCCGTCTTTTCTCAGTACCACTGTCTCCAAAATATACAGTAGTCCCTCGTTTATCACAGGGGATCCATACCCTGAAGCCCCGTGATAAGTGAAAAAACACAAAGTAGGAATAGTAGTACAAGTAGTAAGTTGCAGTTTATTTTAGTATTTATATATATTTATATTAAGGCGTTTTAAACCCTTCCCACACTCGCAATATTCTAAACAATGTTTCTAAACTCTAAATGCTCTAAAAGAGCACAGCATGTCATGATTTCAGCTCTCTGCCACCTCCCAGCCAGTGCTCTCTGTACTGGCCACACCTAATTCTACACTGCAGAGTGGAGATCAGCTGGTCAGCTGCAAGAGGGAGCTTCTCCCACAGCTGTGGGCTGCACACAGGTACTAAATCATTTTAAATTATGTATTTTAAATTAAAAAATCCATGCCGATTGCACGGCTCATCTATCAATCAGCCAATTGCGTGTCATGTCCAATCTTTGAAAAACAGCAATGGAGCGAGTCCGCCAAAAAAGTAGCGAGGGACTATTATACAACATTGCTGTTCTCACCGCTTTCTTGTAAAGCTTTCCTTGGATCTTTGCTGCCACCATTTTGTCAGAAACAATGCCTGAAACTTTTCTCAATCATCCCAACCTGTCTGGATTCTCTTCTTCACCTCTTTACCAAACTCACTGTTTTTCTGGACAATTGACCCCAAGTACTTTAAGTCCAGAACCTTTGTGACCTCTGGTCCTTGTACCCTCACTGTTCCACTGGTCTCCCTTTCATTCACACACATGTACTTGGTCTTACTACGACTGACTTTCATTCTTCTTCTTTCAAGTGCAAACCTCCACCTCTCTAAGTTCTCTTCCACCTGTTCCCAGTTCTCCCCACAAATCACAATCTCATCTACAAACATCATAGTCCACAAGGATTGTTGCCTGACCTCATCTGTTCAGGTCCATTACCAGAACAAATAAGACACCGGCTATCACAGTGCACTAAGATTCATAACTGATAAATACAGCAAAGTTCTTTCTGATCTTCACTTCTCTACCATCTTATTTAAATATGCTGTATGTAGTGTTCTTTCTTGGCATAAAATCATGTTGCTGCTCACAAATAGTCACATCTAGTTTAAGTTTTGTTTCCACAATGCTGGGGACACCCACCCAACATGTATGGTGTGCCTAGGTTTGAAACATGCCTAGGCAGTCTGTGAAGGAGTATGTGCACTAAAGGTGTTTTGTCACTGTCTGGCCAGTCAGATAATATTGTCCAGCTGCGATCCAGTGATGGCTTTGGCAGCCAAGGAGCAGAACCCATCTGACCTGCCAAGTTTTTGCCGGTTGCTGAACCAGAAGGGGACAAGTAGGTTGCAAGTATGTTGCCCCAAATGAAACTAGTTGGGGCAACATACTCGAGGCTGTGGACTCGCTGCATCTGAAATGATGGAGCAGGGTCTAACTTTGAGCTTATTCGACTTCATGATGGCATGAAGTGAGCTATCAGATGTGGAGTTAGAGCTACCCTTCTCAGATGATAATGAGGATTATGACCCATTGCCCCAATGCTCAGGTTGGGTTGCAAAACAGGCATGAGCCAACATGGTCATGAAAACCCATCTTCATCCGAACTGGATTTAGACCTGCATGACGTGTGCAAGTACACTGCTGTGAAGCTTGACTTTCAGTGGCCTGAAGTCCAAGCAGAGGTGGTTTGCTTACATTTTGATTAAAAAAACTGCCAAAGGCTAACTGGCAAACTCCTGTCATTGTGCCCAGAGTTGCTAGAAAAACTATTTGGCTCTTGGCGGAGGAGGCTCTTTAAGGAGAAAAACCCAATTCATTCAACCTTTATTTATACAGGTTAGTCTAATTGAGCCTCGAGGACTCATTTAAAGACAGACCTTTTTTTAATAAAGAATGATGAAACAATAGACAGCAATGGCAACTGTAGACAATGGTGAGAAGGTGGATCTGTCCTGTCTGGACATGAAAAAGTAGTCTCTGACAAATGCCTCTAGACAAGCCAGCGGTTGCAGCGCACCTGCACCCAAATATGTCCATGTCGGTGGGTGGCCCTGCTCTCCCCTCCAGATTGGACTGCTCTCAGTCAAGCCTGACAAAGAAATCATATAAAGTAGCTGTGCTGTCACTCTGTGCTCTGAACATCTCCTCCATGCTTATGACTTACTAAGTAGAGCTGGAGGAGCAGATGACTCTGAAAAGGTGGTCATCTGCTCCTGCATTATGGGACAAAATGTGCATCATTACAGATCTCTGGCTGCACAAAGTGGCAATCCAGGCAATGGACAGGACCAAAGGGCTGATGGTTCAGCAGGAGAGGGCCAGGTGGCTGAATCTTAACACTTATTCCATAAAAAAAGAAGGCGGACCTCCTCAACACTACCATCACCCTTAAGGCTCTGTTTGTCTTAGGGGTCAACTTGATGCAAAAGAGGTGGG